AATTAATTAATAATTTAAATCAACAAATTTTTATGCTACAGAATAACCCACCAAATATACAACAAATAGGAATGGCTGGATACCCATCCCCAAATTTTCATGGCTATCACGATGAGGATTCAGAAGAATTTATTGATTCTTTTCGCTCATATCTTGTGGCCATAGGAATTAATGTATTAGCCGGACATGCTCACAGAATTCGAGCACATGGTCTTTTTAAAACATGTCTAAAAGGTGATGCTAAAGATTGGTATGAAAGATCTCTTCATCGAAAGAATTGGGAATTAAGAAATTTATTAGATAATACCGGGCAGGCCACTTTAGCTCTGGCTCAATAACGAATGGCAGCACAACTTGGTGCAAATTTAAGACATAATGCTGTGGGACAGGCTGGAAATATTGTTATTCCTGCTCATACAGTATTTGATGAAGACTGGTCTTTTGCCAATGGGCACCCAACTAATCATATTGTAAATCTACCCAATGCCAATGGTGGTCAATCTATAGTAGCAGATGAAATTCGACTTGGACAGGTAATATACTGGCTTAAAACTAACTATCCCACAGTTATTGCAGAAAAACAGCGAATGCTCTTTGGTTCAATGGTCCAAGGCAGTGATCCTGTAGGTTGATTCTATTCTAAGTTATGTAAACTTGCTAGGCTTGCTAGTATTGATGAACAACAAATTCGATTACAATTTATTCATGGTATCTCTCCTGATAATTAATTAGAAATTCGACGCATTGGAATTAACAGGCCTGTATCTGAATTGCTTATAGAACTCGAAGAAATCGAAAGATATAAAACAGAGCAATTATCTGGAGCATATTTATATTCGGACACAGATAAATCTTATAGAAAAGACAATAACCCTTTAGGTCTGGGTATGACCAAAACTGAAATTGAAAACTTAATAAAATCTATGATGCCATCTATCCAAGAAATGAAGACTCAGCACTTTGTGCCATCTCAACCAATTTCTTCTCAACCATCTCAATCATACTATAGGCCACAACCACCCTGAACCTCTCAAATTATACAAGATACGAATATAAGTAGATTTATACAATGGCTTACTGGAGAGATTCCAGAATTTGTTCCTGTTCCCAAGCCCGATTTATCTCCAAAACCAGCAATAAAGAAAGTATTGCAAAGCAATAACCCACAGGGTCTTGAAGTTACAGATAATGATCCTGTAGAAGATATGCATAAACAATTAGAAAACCTCTAAATCAATCTGACTAAAATAAATAAAGCTATGAAAAAGAATTCAAGCAAGCCTAAATCTTCTCATCGCAAGACCAAAACCAAATCTAGAACCCAAAAAAAGAAATCGAGTTGATCAAAACATGTTAATGCTCATATAATTTCAGATGAAACATTTTCAGACTCTAGCGATAGTGAAAATAGTACAATATCTAGTGAAAATGAACTTGAAACCAATACCTTAGCACGCTCATACAATGAATCAGAATCTGATTCCTCTAGAACCAGTGAGTTTAGTAATTCAGAAAGTGATGAGTCAGAGACTCAAGGCTATGCCTCTTCAGAAGAATACGAAATCAATGCCACAAAAAAAAAATAACTTATTCTGATACCAAGAGATCAAAGAAGCACAAAAGTGCCAGGCCAGGACCTGAAAGGTCATTGTGAAGCAATAAAACTTCTAGCAAAAAATCAAGTAATGCCTCTGATAAAAAGGATAGTAAAAATAGACCCGAAAGGTCATTGCTTCACAATACTAGATCATTTAAAATTCCTACAGATAATATTAGCCTAAATGCATTTTTGCTATTTTACGATCAATGGTTGATTCATTTACTCGTACCCAATCTAAAGAAGTCTCAACTAATGGATATAATATGATTAATGCCAAATTTATTGCACTGAAAGATCTTATTCTAAATCATTTTACTTTGAATTTCTTAGACAAGGAACGAGAAAAGTTCTGGCATAAGATTACTATGATATTCTCTCACATCTTGCAACCAATATCAGATCTAATTCGAATTGCTTCCTAGCAAACAAATATACTACCCAAAACAGCCCCAGAAGAGATGCAACCGGAAGCAGAAATTTCATGGCCAAATCCTATAGAAATTAATTTTATTTGTAAAATTATTCCTAATAATGTTGCAACTATTACTTGCCAAATTACTTCACCATCAGGAAAAAATATTCAAGTACCTGGTGTGCTAATAGATAGTGGAGCAAACTGCTCTCTTAAATCAAAAGGTCTTGCAAAACTATTAGGAATGAATATTAACAAAAATAAAAAACCTTCTGTAAAATAGTGTAATAATTCTTTAGAATCTATTGGAACTTGTTATAATGTACCAATTACTTTTGGCTATAGAGATAATAGTTATACAATTACAGAAGACTTTCCAGTAATGGATGATGATAAACCTTGGATATTATTAGGCACTCCTTTGCTTGATCATGCTGGATGGGAGCCTATTGTTAAGCATGAATTCAAGTTAATACATAAAGGTAAAGTAATTACTATACCTCTTTCAGTACATAAGTCCCAGAGAGAGATATTTAAACCAGAAATTAACCTGACTTTTCACAAGCAAGATGAGTCAAAGACTCGAAGCTCTGCTTCCTCGATTCAAGTATCTACTGATTCTTCTAGTTCATTTAGTAAGGATAACAATATATTATTAGAGGAATGGCATGCTTCTGCAGGTTTTAGCCCAGATTTTAGTCTATCTAGTAAGGATGATTTCTTGCAAAGTAAATCATTAGATGATGAATCAGAGATGAGTCAAAGACTCAAAGCTCAGCTTTTTCAAGACTTTACCTTTTCTTTGAATCACTGCGAAGCAGAACACTTTGTGTCTAACCTAGGTTTAGACTCAAAAAGCCAATGCTCTGCAATAAAAAAAAAATAATTAAGACCCAAAGGGTCATTGCTTCGCAATCTAAATTACAAGTTCGAGATATTTCTATATGGGAGAAATATATAAATCAATTCTTCTCTTAATTATAACCCTCTGAATCTAGATATATCTGGATATAACCTACCATCTTTCTCTTCTAATCCATGAATAAGACTATATATAGTACCATCTTAGATAAATTTTTTTAATGTAAACTCAAATTTATTTCTCATATCTATCTTAATTTGGTTGCATTCTATTTCTTTTTGTTGCTTAATATTTTTTAAAGTTTTTTCAATAGATTTAATAAATTCTTGACGTAAATTATTTGTAGCATTTTTGATTCTAGCATTAACCTCTTCTTCAGAATATAACTCTTTGGGTCTATAAAGCAAGCTATTAGGAGAAGAATCAGAGATTTGAGATTTTGTCTCTTCGAATCTTGACTTTTTGGGTTTTGAAACTGGTATCACTGTACAATAAGACTCTGCCTCTACTTCTATTATAGGATTATATTGAGATTTTTTATTTCTTTGGTATCTATCAACTTTATGTTTTAAAAATGCCTCTATAATAGGGCTAATACTACTAGCTTCACTTTCAGATAATGGATTTTTTTTTCGAGTTGTAAGCTGATTCCATCTAGCTTTTATTAATGAAGGTAGTAGTTGAGCAAAAAGACTTGAATAATTTTCGTGAAAAGTCATGTAATTACATAAAAAAATAATTTTATAACTTTTATTTATTCTATAAGACAACTATTATTTATTCTATAAGACAACTTTTATGAAAAGCTATATAATTATATGAAAAAAATAATTTTATAACTCTTATCGTTATGTATTCTATAAAATAATTATAAGTTATTTAATAATTTATTAGCTTTTTTTATTTGTTTTAAGAAATCAATATTCTCAGTTTGAATTGCTTTATCAATATTTTCTGTTTGTACTCCAATATCCATACTATGAATATATATATTTTTAGAACTTTGTAGCTTTTGTCTATTATATCTTTCAATTTCATGTTTTAAAAATGATTCAATTTCAGAATTTATATAACTAGCTTCTATATTTGTTAACTTGATTCTTTTTCTAGTTATAAGACGTTTCCATGCATTATTTATTAATGATTGTAGTAATTGATTAAGTAGATAGATATAATCTTTATGAAAACTAGGTATTTCTGCATACAGATCAATAATCTCTTCAATATCAGTCATTTTAGTAATAAATTTATTTAATACAGAATATGTTTAAATCTATATATATAAGGCCTTGCATATTTATTTTTATAAAAAAAATCGATAATATTATAACTGAACACCAATTCCATTTTGATAACAATGAAAGATCAAAATTATATCGAAAAGTGGCATATCTTTAAAGGGTGGAAGCATGGATGTAAAATTTGTGATGAATGCAATCATCATTCACATCTATATTGTCAAGTATGCAAAAAAATAGCAGTTGGCACTCTTTTATTAACATAAACAAACTGATCACAGCTATAACATATAGCAATATTCACTTTAACAGCCATACGATAACTGAATCCTTCTGTAGATTCCATCTTTCTGGCAATAAGATATCGCTTATTGTAATCAGTCAATTTATTGTTATTTCTATAATTTACTAATTGATTCCAGATTCGGTTCTTCCAATTAGATAGTGTTTCTCTATCACGAATTATTGGAAATTGGCAGTTATCCCTCCACTCGATATCATTTAAAACTGGACAATTATCTGTATAGACCATATTTAATGATTAAGTAATTTAACGTATTATAGTGTTATTAGAGATTATATAATTTATATCATATTTAGAGATTTAGACCTATTTGATTTAATAACTATATACTAATGAATATCGCAATTCATTTTTTGTGCAAATTGGGTTATTAGATAAGTTTTGTATATTCGTCATATTTGCGAATGAAATATATGATGAACCTATTGTGGGTATATTAGGAGATATGACAATCTGAGATATTTTTTCTCATGTGAATAAAAATCATGTATGCGTGACAAATTGTTATGCCGATCACTTTTGCCAAAAATAATAATAACCAGCGATACAAAAGACAACTCAGCATACAATAATTAAAATATCGAGCACATAGAAGTACTTTCATTATTAGTATTATCTATTATGCGTAGTTAGATTAATAATCAGTATTATCACTATATGAAAAATGTAGTTATAAGAATGTTAGTATTATCGTTGCATGAAAAATGAAGTCATTAAGATAGAATCGTATGTATCACTCAGTCCGAGATGAGACAAAAATCATACTTTTTTAGGATGTTATACCATGATTACAGGATTATCTGATAATTAATTTGGTTATGTCGAGTAATAAACTAATCTACTGTTAAATTGCAGTTGAGTTGCAGTATTTTTTTTCTATATAATTCTATGAAAAACAGGTGTATCACTGTAGAGTCACGGTTGAGTCATGTTAGAAACTTAGTTATATGTACTGATGATCAATTGAGCTTATTAATTACCGAAAGAAGAAATAGAAATGCCGAGTATCACAATATTCCTAGAAGTAGTAGGGTGGATTTTTGGAATAATATTGCGGATATAATTAATAGAAGATTTAGTACCAACTATACGGGATATCAATGCAAGGGTAAATTTCAAAATCTTGTAAGGGATCACACTGTAAGTATTTCTACCGAAGGCACTTATTGACAGATTGAACCATAATTAGGTTGTGATAGTGCCTAATGATTTTCTTGATCCTTGTTAGTTGATGTGCCAATATATGGCAGGAAATCGTGCAGGATGTAGAACCAAAACCGAAGTACGATACTTTGAGGAATTCTGCTCATGTTTTTGGGAAAGACTGGGTAAGGTTCTACATTAATCTCAAACATTCATCTGCCTTTGCTGTAGGTGTCTTTGAAATAGAAACAAATTATTAATTTGTTAATTATATATAAAAAAATCTAGAAACACAGTTTGATCAAATACATAACGTAAACACATCCTCGAGAAGAAGAGAAGAAAGACAGCGAAACCGCACTTCACCACCAACCTACGAAGAAGTTTCATCAATGATAAATATAAGTCATCGTGAATCTCCCACCAGTCAAAGAAATCGATCTGCATCCCTGACCCAGAGAAATCCTACCAGAAGAGACGAAACTACTAATCGAGAAAATGTAAGTAATGTAAATGATGCGGATAGGAATTCAGGCCATAACACTAATGATGTAGGTAGAAATTTAGATAATGCGACATACTTATCTTTACCTCATTTGGCAAATACTACCTCAACCCCTAATATATCTGCATCACAAAATGATAGTGATATTAGTATGCCCGATATAGGAGGTAGCCAACCTTCCTGTATGGAAAATATAAATGAAGAGGATTAGCCTCATATTTGTTTTTAGGGGCCCCTAAGCCATAAATATTCCTACATCCTATGATAGTTGATTTGACCATATATAAAACATTGTGTGGATATTCGCCCAATATGCGATTTTATGTATAAAAATAAATCATACTGTTATAGTATTAAGATATTGCATAAAAAATAAAGTTTGTGATACAAGTTACTGAATAGTTTATAAATGAATATTACCGTTATGAATATCTAGAAAACCTTTTCTTATTATATATGGTACTGTGATAAGAAAAAGCGCAAATGGGACTCTGTAAAGCAGGGATGCTTTGCATCCTAAAAAGGCTATAAGGGCAATGAGTATAATGTTCTTAATCAATAGTTTTATCAAAATTTATATGTCACAGGAACTTGGAATTCCCAGATCATCAAAATCATTGTCTTTTTTACTTCGCAGAAGAGATCATTGAATCTAAGAGGGGTTAAGTTTTCCAGAAAAAATAACAAAATAGGCTCAGTGTTTGGAACTTATGACTGAGCGAAGTTGCTTTTTGGAGAAAAAACTGGCATTAGACTTGGGTAATGTAATTACTAATCATGTATTTTTCTTTCTGACAGGTTCTAAGGTCTAATGAATGTGAGATATAAAAATAAGCAAGTTCTCCGCCCATAAGATAAGTTAGCAATAACGTTATTTTTTGCTCATATATATTTTTTTGGCTTAACTTACTTAATATTTACTCTCAAGGTCTGGTTAACATACATTGTTATATGTTTTTTTTTATTTCGAAAGCGAATTTCTACTTACTATTTATTTTTATGTTAGGAAGTGAAAATGGTGAATATTACTTTAAATTATTATGTCAGCAGTGATTATTCAATTAATATTACCCCAAATACGACAGTCGCCAACCTTAAAAATATGATTAGAAATAACATTTCTTTTACTGATTTTGATCTCTACATAAATGATCTCGAGATGTAAGAAAATATATAGATCTGCAAAATATGGTTTCACAATATTTTGATATTAATAATTTAGGAAATCGCATCCATATTCTTGTTTATCAAAGATAAATTTTTTTTTATTTATATGTATTCGCACTTATAATAGCGATATATATTTTTTATTTGTATATTATGTTTTTTTTTTTTTTTTTTGTTAAAGTCCCTGTCTCTGGGAGTTGATGTTTTTATTCATATATTTGAACTCAGGTGCCTCCAGGGGCTCCCTTATATAGGAGGTTACAACTAGCCACACGTGCACTTTTGGTGCCTAATTTAAGTAGTCCGCCTATACATTACTATACAGGTTCTACACTAGGTGCCATACCAGCAAGCCAACTATAGGTCTTGCCTATTTAAACCCTCTGCATATATAGTCCACTATGTCTCATGATGACATCTTCAAGGCTACACCTATCCAAAGTACCCGATGCCTTCAAGTACTCTTAGGACTAGTTTATCCTCGACAGGAAACTTACTAGAACCTTCCGTGTCCCACACACAGCTAATCTAGTTTTATGCAACACACTATAGTTACCTAACACTTGCAGTCACAAGGGTTACCTGTTTAACTACTATGTTACACTATTTCTACCCTTGTAAAGTTTACTAGAACCCCAGTACCTATCATCGTGACGTCTTCCCCATCATCCCTTACTAACCACTACTCAGGACTGACAGGACTCCTCCAACTTCCAATCCAGATAGCCCGGTATGGTATACTTATGTATCCTTTTCCTTCGACGATTCTGGCGGTCTGGTTGGTCATGTGCTCCTCTACACATCTTGACATCCGGTTTATCCGCCTATCCCTTTAGAGGTGTTTCATGGGCTTCCATCGGTCTGACCGTACCGTCGAAAGTTCATGCTACCTCTTTACTCAGGAATTTTCAAGTAGGCTTCCGACTCTTAGATTCCTTAGTTTACTGCACCCAGTGGTCTTATCATGGGTTTGCACCGAAGTCTTATGCAACACTGGTTATTAACATTCCTCTATATACATGTAACATTACACTTGGCATAGATGTCCCGAGCTCCCATTCGAGATGATGCGACTTAAGGTTACAGATACACAAATCCAACTGATCGTCAAGAGACAGTTTGCCATAACACAGGTTAATTTCTAAATTTCGTCATAGGTGGGATTTGAACCTTAGACCTGCCACTTGGAAGATGACAATCCAACCACTACACTAGGATTGCCATCCTCACAATACTAAATTGTATATATATGCTTTGAAGGTTATATATAGCAAATTTTATTTTTTGCCCTTTTAGCAAATAATCTCTAGTATGACATTAATTCTTACAATTCTCATTCTTTCCATCTGAACTGCTTTCTAAAGAGATAGTCATAGACTATGAATATCTTGTGTATCTTTCTCTTTTCATTCTGCAGTGATTGTTATCAATTCTTTCTGTAATTTTGCAAATTCATAATTTGTTTCAGAGTTGTTTTGTAGACATAAAGAACTGGATAAACTAGGTGCTTCTGATTCTATGGTTTGTTGAAAAAATTGAGTAGGTTGGTTATTTTTTTTTATATTATTTTTTTTCTTTTCATTAACTTGAAGACAGCTTAATATAACAAATATGTGTTTGCATAGTAGTTAGTAGGCTCTAAAGTCTTGGCAGATGCAAATATTTGATGTAGTATTCAATTGTTCTTCAGAATTGTTTTTTTTTACAGAATATTCTACATCATCATTGGTTATAGATTATACTATTCAGATATTTGAACTAATATTATAAATATCATTTTGACTAATTTGCATTATCCTGACAATTTTTCTGATTTGTTGTTATTTTTTCTAAAGATTCATCCTTCTAATATTTAAATTATACAAAAAAATAGAGAAGTATAAATCTTGTAACACAATTTCTACCAAAAAATAAACTTCTGTATCAAGTTGGCACTTAGGTCTTCCCCTTATATAGACATACTTTAATTTTTGATAAAACATCTCAATCATATCTCTAGTGGCACCTCTTAAACAAACCATTCATTTCTCATACTTTGGAACCTACCAATGCTCAAAATAGTTAGCAAAGTTATTTACTGTAACAATATTCATTTGTCACTATTTACTAACAGTTTCTACAACTTGTTGCAGTGCTTTCGTATTATCCTATCCTTTTGTCTTCATCAACTGTTATAGGTCCTTCTATATAATTGTTTTATATAGATTGCTATTCTTGCCTTTAGTAAAACAAATTAAGGGTAGAGTATATGTAGATCATTTTTTATATGATCTTTGTAGTACAATATAATTTTTATAAAAAATAAAGCT